TTTGGGCCGACTAATACTCGCATGAATATACACAAACACTAACATTCTATATTTTTCATGAACTGCCCAATTCAATAGAGGTTACTTTGGTGACTTCTTGACTCAATTTGCTCACAAAAAATATTAAACTACCAAAAGCTTGAATATTTTATTTATATAACAAAACCAAATATTTAATATTTACAAACTAATTCAAAAGATAATCACCTCATTAGAATTTCACTAAGGATGAATACCTCCCTAGAATCTCATTAGGGATGAACACCTCCTTTGAACAAATCAAAGGATGAAAAACACCTCTTTTTCCACCAATACATAAAGGATGAACATCTCCCTAAAATCACACTAGGGATGAAACAAAGATAGTTATGACCCTCTTTAACACACTGCTCTAAACCCTAAAAGGTGATTAAACAGTAATCACTCAAACCCTAAACAGGGAATTTAACATCAACTTTTCCTTAAATCTCTAGAGGATAAAGACAATAAAATAATAACAGTCACACATGTGGAAACATTCACCAGTTGTCTAAGATCCTCTATGTTGGGAATTTCCCAAACACCACCCCCAATTCCAAACCCATCCATATCCACCATGAAAAGAAAACAAAAACAAAATCCAGAAAATTAAATAAAAACAAAAGATTCAAAGAGAACAGAGAACCCAATACAAGAAAGATTGAAATTTGAAGCACTATTTCTTTCTCTGTAAAACTCGAAACTTAAACCGAAACAAAAGGGAAAAACGAAGAAGAAGAAGAAGAAGAATTCATAGCTTCCTCCACGGTTCCATCAACAAGCAGATTGGGGATGTTACCCCCAAATTTAAATTTTAGGGTTCACGAAAATTGGAGATTATTCTCCACTTAGGGTTCATAAAATTGGGTAATTTGAATTGTTTAAAACAAAATTAATCCTAATTTTCATAATTAGGGTTCTATAAATTAAACAGACATGAATCAAATATGGGCGGTTCTGATACCAATTGTTAGAAAATTAATGATAATAATAATCCTGATTTTGATTCTAACGATCAAACATAAATGTAATCTCATACTGATAAACATGTTGAAAACTGAATGCGAAAGCGTACTTAAATTAGCCATAATGATGGTGTCTTTGTAGAGCACTATATTGATCTTATGGTCTTCCACCTGAAGAGCACCTGTATTATTCTCTCTTGATTTTCTCTCTTGATGGGGATAGAAAGAAAGGAACGGGACTGATACTTACGTTTTGTGTGTGTGCTCCCAAAAGGGGACCATGACCCTTTAAATAACCAGAATTAGGTTAATTACTTAAGTTTTAGTATTTCCAATTTGGTCCCTCATCAAATTAGAAATTGTTCAATGGTCTCTACACAATTTTATTTTCATGACATATGCCTTTAGCCAAAACTTTAATTTAGTCAGATCACTTTATTATTTTGCTTAATAAATAATGACACTAACACATTTAAATTATGTATCATATATATACATGACCAAAATTTTACCAACATGTCCAACTAGATGGAATTTAACATACAAAATGCTTGAAATTGCCATAATATAAGGGTGTTTAATCGTCTGAAGCAACGAGTTAGTATACTTTTTTGTCGACTAGTTTACAATGATAACAAAGAATGTTTGTGGAATATTGAAATTGTTCAATTTTATAACAAAAATATTTTTTGTTGTTAAGCATCCAGCTATTAATGTGTATTTTCCCAATATATGTGAGACTAAATTGACATTGACTTAGTTGATTATGTCTCTCAATGAATTGGTTAAAAAAATGTCAGAGAAGATGTTCAAATTTAATAAGTATTAGAATGTGATTCATAGTATTATGGGAGTTGCTACTATTTTAGATCCTATACACAAAATGAAGTTACTTGAATATTATTATGACAAAATTGTATAGCCATGAATATTTTTCCCATGTTAGGATGATTCACCAATATGTTATGACTTGGTTTATGAGTATCATACAAAAATACATAAAGACATAGTGGGTGAGTCCCTAACAATGGATTGTACTAATGTTGCTAGTGATGTATTATATGTATATTTTGAGGGGGGAAAAAAGAGAGATGGCTACACATATCTCTACTGTAGCTTTTGAATATGCATTTATAGTATTAGTGATCAAATATTAATCATCATTGTAGTCAACTTCATTGGTCCACTTTAGAGGATTTGATATGTGTCAGGAATTGGTTATAGAGTGCTAAAAATAGTGGTAATATTTTATATACCTCTTAAGTATATATTTGATTATTGTATTTTTATATTTTAGCAACTATATATTTTTTTTATATTTTATCTTTAGGTAGTGAAAATTTTCAACTAGTTAAGGATTATGCTACTTTATTTAATGAAATGAATTTCGATGATAAAAGTATTATTTTATTTATTCAAATAATATTATTTATTTATTCAAGATTTTATTTATTTGTTTAATAATATAATTCATTTTGAATTAGTAGATGAATTAATAGACAATGGTATTACTCCTTGAAAGATAATCACTAGATTATATCCAATATTTGTTTTGCATAAATAGTTTAAACCGTAAAGAAAATAAATTAATATTATTAAGTTTTTAATATTTCTCCAACATATTTTCGTTTTCCATAATTATTAATAGATTTCTTAGTTTTCATTCGGATTATGTGTAGGGACTGTTATGCAAGTTTTTCTATTTATTACTTTTTAAATATGTAATTAATAATTGTTTTGAAGGAAACTTGTTTTTATTATATTATATTTTCTTAAGGATTAATAGTTTCCAAGATTGATATTTTATAATATGTAGAAAAAAGAATGATCAAACATCTTTTTGTACATATTTATTTTAATACAATGTAATTAAATAAAATATACACTTAATAATAATAATCTAAAAATTATAAAATTATATTTATTTTTTTATAAAAAAAATAAAACGTAACAAAAAATAACATTAATGAAACAGTAAAAAAATATTAATAAAATTAATTTATTATAATTTATATATAATTATTTTTTTAAAATATCATGGAATAGGAAAGTATTGAGGATTGAGAAACCCAAAATTCAATGAGAAGATAATAAAAACTTGATTTTTAACCTCTGTAATAATCGGAGGTGGAGACTATTAAGAAAGTTGACAAAGCGACCGTCATGAAACTCGGGGTTGAAGATCCTGTAAGCAAAATATCTTTAAGAATTCAAAATCTTAAAAAATAAAGAAAGAAGGTAATGACTCGATGAAGCTTGCAGGGAAAGTAGTCTAGAAAATAAAAATAGAAAAAAATTAGATAAAATTACGACAATATTTTGTTTATTTTTAAAATAAAGAGTATTCCATTAATTTAAAATCTTTATATTCTAATTTAAAATATATACTTTTAGATTATGATGATTCTTAATTGAAAATTTTATACGCTCTAAAGGAGTGAATTAATCATTGTATTTTTTTTTTAATAAGAACAAATGAGTTTTAATAAAAACACAATGATTAGATTTGTCATTTTAAAGAAAAAAAGTTTAAATTTCTTATTATTTTAACTCTTAATCCCATCACACTATCAAGATATTAAAGAAATATAAATAACAACTTCATTAAAAAATTATGTACCAATTTAAAAGTCTTACATTTGACTCCACTTTACAGTGAAAATGAATTTTTTTATAAGAAAACCCTGTATAAAACGTTTACTAACTGGTAGATACATTAATATGAACGAATATTAAAACACAAATGTTAGGTACACATCAAATAGATAGTAAAATATTGAAAATTTATATTAACAACAAACAATACCTTAGAAAAAGTCACAAATATAAAAGTAATATTCTAAATATATATATATATATATATATATATATATATATATATATATATATTTCAATTCGATCCTAAACATTATATAAATTAATATTATAAAAGGATTTATACTATATCTTGTTTAAATAACTCATTAAATTTAGTAAAGTGTTAAATATGGATTTGATATAACATACGATGTTGAATAATTAATATGGAAATAAATCACTTAAAATTACTTTATAAAAAATGAGAATAAAGAACATTCAGTATCATTATTATATATTAAAAACAAATGAAAAAATAAAAATAAGAAATAAAAATAAACAATTACTATTTAATTATATATTTTAAAATGGATTTATGAGATATGAACCAATTACATAAAGCAACTTCAATCTAAAATCTTAAATATTAAATTATAGACACTTATAAATTATTTAAATATTAGATTATAGTTTTATAAATTATTCAATTCTTTTTGTACGTGACCTCACTTAAATTCTCACCACAAAATATAATATTTGAGGTGATATATTAATAGATCGAAAATAGAATAGGATGGAAATCGTAGGTACAACATAATGTATTGCATCGTAGGTATAAGATAATATATTGTATGAAGTATTTAAATAAAGATTATTCAACACTTATTTTATCATATGTAGAAAACCGTGAAGAGATAGAGTTCTTGAGATTCTTTAGGTGTTTTAACTTATTTCAAATCTAAAGAAGTTACATAACAAATGAAGGAATAATATCATTAAATAGAATTGTCCTTGTCTAGCAGAAACAATATTCACATTTGTTTTTTCCCGTGTAAGAATTTGAGATGAATTCTCTAAAATGGAGAGAATTGTCCTAGTACTATGTTTTTGATGGTGAACAATCTTCCCATTCTAAATTCCCAAAATAAAAATAAAAATAATATGGCGAGATTTAATATGATTAAATTAAGAGTGAATGGGAAAAGAAAACCAACTGAGAAAAAGATCAGACAAATCGGTATGTAAACTTATTAGCAACAATATTTTTTTTTTAAATCTGAAATTGGATAGATAATAGCAAAAGGGTCATCAGGTAGGAGAAAATGAAAGAGAGAAAATTGACGTATGGAAAAGCAAAAACACTGCAAATGCGATTAATAAATGTTAAATAGTTTAAAGGCTCAAACAAATAATAATTTCTGTACTGTAAGACAATGCTGCCTATGGAACAGAACTGACTGTAGTTTGTAAAGAATTTGTGCATGGTGAAAGCACAAGGGGTGCTTCAACCTGCATCTTCATTTGATTAAACTTCAGTGCTAATATTGGTTTTGATAACATCACACAAGTGCTGAAATTTTGTGCATCATTTTTGTGATCTTCAGCCACATGGCTACTGCTTACATGATCTTCTAAAGATTGTTCAGTGTCATCATTTGTTGAAGGGAATGATTCTGAAACCTTCAACGGTTTCAATGCTTGCACCCTATTCAATATTGAGAAGATACTTTAGACTATTGACAGAATCATATGTCAAAAGGCATAGTATTGATTGATTTCTTTGTGCTTTTGAAGTCTAAAAGAAAAAGTAACAAGTTCAGACACGATCAGAGTTTTTACATTATCACAAGTTTGTTAACCTTTTATAGCAGCAATGATTTTTAAATGGTTGATTGTATAGAAATTTTTTAAGCCTAAGAAGTTAGATTCTAGCCTGCATTCAATCTGGCAAGAGTATTTGAGGAGGTTTGGATTATACTCTGTAGCTCCACTGCAAATTGAAACAAATTGGTGATCATTAGTCAAGGAAAACTGAAAACTCTGGGTAACATAATGTGGATATAATTGATTGCTTCACTGATTTACCTAAAACTTGGAAGTGACATTCTGATTGTTGGCCCCACCCAGTGGCCAAAGCTCAAAGAAGGCACTGCAATCAACATGCTTGTCATCAGTAAAGCCCCTCGTAGTGTCAATTATAATTTGAGGGCAAACTAAATGAATCAAACACAATGAAAAACTATTATGGAACATATTTTTGAAGAATTCTATGTACAGAATCATGGTCTATGCTAGAAATGTTTGTTCATCACTGAAATACCATTGATTGTTTTGGGAGAAAATGGAAGAAAATGTCTACAAACAACTATTTGGAAGCAACTAAACCATCAAGAGGCATTGACATGAGTATTATAACCATCTTTTTCAAAAAATATTGAGGAGGAAACTCATTGAGGCTAGTGGAATTAAATAAAAAAATTCACTCACCAGGACTTGTGAGACTGATGTTAATATTACATGTCTCCTCTGCATCAACACATTTGATTTTGGTTACTTCAACATTCAGGGGATCCTTTGGACTAGAGAACTTGGCACCAATCCTATTAAGAAATCCACTCTTTCTGCCCCTCTGTTGTCTTGAGTTTGCTGTAATTGTCTTTTTGAAGAATGAACAAATTAAATATGCAAATGTAACTTAGAGAATTCCCACGTTTTCTAGTTTTATTGATTAATACTTTATCTAGTAACAGTGTCATGAACACAGCTGGTGTCTTATTATTGTCTATGTTCTAGCTTTTGATTAAATCCTCATAACTGATATACAACATCATAAGCTTCAGTTTCCATAATTCTAAGCAATGTTCCAAAAGATTGAAATACAATGATGCACTCGGTCAAAACAATTACCTTGGAAAACCTGGCCATCTGGCTTGGAAGCCCCACCTCCTGCCAACAAAGTGGGAGTTACACCAAAATGGTAAAATAACACCATGAATTGTTACATTTTGAGGGTGAAATCATGGAAAACAGACATAACAATTCGTTCCATTCCAAACTATAGATGAATTTTCTTTAAGTGCAATAGTGAAAGTTAGAAACTAAAATCATGCAGATTACTTAAATATTTTATAACAAAACCAATCATAATGAGTTTGATTTATAGATGTAATAACCTGATTCATTAATTATTTTGCATAACCCAAAAAACTTAATTCTCTTCCTCAGGAAAAGATGAAATTCAGCAATTTGTTTAATCGTTATTTATATGTATCTGAGAATTTTCTTCTACCTTTCTTCCGTGACAACAGGCCTCATCGCTGTTCACGTACACCTTCGTCGCCCATCTTTTTGACGAAAGAAAAAAAAAATTAAGATGATTTAGAATTATTCATTGTTAATATAAGAATGTTTTAAGGAGTATTAAATACATTTATTCATGATCTTGAATATTAATTTTAGGAAAATAACATCATATATTATTAATAAATAATAGATAAATATGAAAAGATAAAAAATAAAAATAAAAAACAAAATTATAAATATATAAACAAATATATTTAATGACAATATATAAAATATATACCTTGATATATATTTTAATTTTTTTGAAATTAGTTGAATAACATGTTAAAAATGTTATAAATATTATATAATATTATTTTAATAAGAAAACTCATAGCCACCCATTAGAAAAACAGATAAAAGAATAAAATTCCTCCTTTCCATGAACCTTACCTCATCTTACCAGCTATCCATGTTTTGATTGGCCCTGCTACTATCATATATAATAAACAAGGTTGAATAATTTTCTGGTCCCTATATTTATCTCAATTTTTATTTTTATTTCTACATTTAAAAAATGTAGATTTTAAATTCTAGAGATTAGAAAAAAAAATTGTTCATACAGAGAAATAAAGATCAAGATTTTTAGGGTTTAAAGTTTGAACTAAATGAAATTTTGAGGCAAGTGTAAATATCAAATGATTAATTAACCCTGTAAACAATATAAATGTGTTACCAAAGGCTTGTTTGGGACAATGTGATCATCACAAAGTAAGACCAAATTTGACTGGGCAAGTAGCAGCAGTATCACATGCAGAAAACTAAAAGCATTCACTTTGGTTAAATGCTTCTTTTGGAATCAATTTTGATATGACTTTGGAACTAGAACCACGTTCCATTTCAGTGCTATTCTTCTCCATATATATTTTATTTGATGATAATGGAAGAATGAAGAAGTTTCAATAATATATATATATATATATATATATATATATATATATATATAATCATAATAGAATGCAAAGTGGAAACATACGCGCAGGATGTTGGGCGGTTCCATACAAGTCCTGCAATCACAACAAGCTGCTACGCATCACAAAGTTCTAACATCAATCAATAACACAATGTGTTTGGAAACACATAATTACTAAAATATGTTTCAAAAAACATCTGGAGCAAAAACTGAGATTTAAAATATAACAGAACCTCATCAAAGACACCAACTGGACTGTCCTCATAACTTGCTAGAAAGAAACCACCAAGAGTGTATCTGCATGTACAGGCCCAAATCAGAAATCACAAGTTTCGACATAAACTTCTATATTTCAATAGACAAAAGTTAGATACAATTCTATAAGTGTCTGTGTTTTTTTCGTTTTTTTTTTTTTTGTATGGATAGACAAAGTCAGCTTCACAAGTTATGTTATATTTTAATACATACTTTTTTATGTTAATCTATAATTTGCTGCTGTGAAACTTCAATTCTGAACAGTACAAAAAAAATCTACAGAACTGAATCTAGCTTTTGTCCTATTAATCACCTCCACCTTCCTCTTCAACCTCATATGCTGAATTCTTTCACTTTTATGATTGAAAGAGTTTACATGTAATGAAATAGTTCGCAAATCCTATCTAAGTGTTGGAGCTTACAAGTCATCAAATGATACACAGAAAACAAGTTTATAAAAAATCGAATTCTTGAATGCCAATCAAACAATTTCACGCATTTAATTCATTTATATATGAATTCAACTATTTCTTTTTGAAGGCAGGAGAATATGACTAAATTAGCAAATAAAGAAGCAGAAAATCACTTGCCTTTTTAACTGCACAAACTAATTAATCTCAGGAGCAATTGGAAAACTAATCACTGTCGAAATTTATTCTCCATTTTGTACTAACTCTTCTAAAGCAAGTACAAGTATACCTACCCAAAAGCTTCAACCAATTTGAATTCTTTTGGAATGAATGCTCGTGCTTTCTCTGCCTTCACAAGATGGAGCTGATACCAGGCACTGATATATAATCAGAAACAGAACTAGTTACTTAAACTTAACCCCCACCCTCAGCGACCAAAAAACACAGAAAAAAAATAGTAACTAGAGAAAAATCGTTACACTTGCCTGCCTCTAAATACCCATGGAGGAGTGCCATACCCAGAAGAAGATTTTCTCTCTACAGCTTCCATAAACGCTGAATAATAAAATATTGAAAACCGAATTGACATAGAGGCTCAAGTTTGTCAGAAACAGATTAGCAATTGTAATAAATGATTTCCACAGAGCAAGGTGAAAAACCAGTGTCTATTTCTCTTTGATATGACACACATACACTAATTACATTTACAATAAACTAATGAATGCATTAGCATTAGGCAGCCAGAACTTACATGATTGAGTAAGGTGGCTGAAGAGATGAGTGAAAGAAGCAGAAGGGAAGCTGTAGCTATGGATGTAACCCCAAGGAATGGAGAAAGCACGTAAATGAAGATGGAAAAAAAAAATGAAGAGTGGGAGAAGAGGGTAAGGTATGGAAATGAATGGATAAACCAATATATTGCATCCTGCGTGTCCTTTTGTATGGACATAAACTAAACATGGACAACGTTTGGCGCCAACACGAAGTAAAAAATACAAAAAAAAAAAAAAAAAAAGCACCTTAATTTATTTTGACGTAAAAATGGTTAAAGTAGAAGCGAGGGTATTGCATTTATTATTGGAGCCACTTGCCAAAATAAACAACTATAATTCATTTCTCTCGGTTTTTTTTTCCCCTTTGTTTGTCGAGTTCTTTGCCCTTGAGGCAAATCGAAGAGTGGATCCACAAAAAGAAATCTTTCTAGATTTCGCTAGAAGTTACTTTTTGTCATCATCGTAGCAACATTTTACGGCCATTCATCTATGACGTAATCAGTTAAGTTTCATATGTGCATGCCATACCACTTACCAAAGAACCAGATAATTTTCCACTGTAACGTATACAATTAATTAAAAATTTATAACACATTGAAGTGATGATGAAAAATAATAAATTTTTAGTCATATGTGAAGTTTTCGTTACATTTTCAGTTTAATATATTTTAAATAGTATAATTTTTTTTTTAAAGCTTTCTTATGGACAGAGGTTGAAATTATATCTTTTAGATTTAATTACTCGTTTATTTTTATGATTACAAAAACTCTTTTTAATTCCTATACTTAAAAATATCTTCTTTTAGTTCTTTTCACATATTTAAAAATCTGTATTTTATTTTATTTTATTTTATTTATAAGTTTTGCAAATGATGAGTTTATACCTATATACATGAGTTTTTACATGACAAACGTTGTATGTATATACCACAACCTTATCTTATAAATTACACATAACATTTTGGAGCTTTATTGATAAATAATAAGAAGAAAAAGACATGCAAAAGAAAAGAAGTTTCAATACAGCAAAAATAATAACATGTATCGTATTTAATATCAGAATTCTTATATGATGAGTAGACATTATGATTATGAATTCATATTTTTACCATATATAGTTGGAAGATTGATGTTTTATGATTGTTCAATTATCTAATAGATCGGAATAAAACTCAGGATAAAAGAAAAATATAACACAAACATGCATAAATGGAAGCAATTGTCATGCTCTCTCAAACACAGCACATTATCACCATAATGCAATAAAATCTTCCAATTCTAACGCAAACCACCAACAGTGCCACAGTTAAACTGGCAAAAAGGGCACATCAGTAGGACACCAATGAATGTTATACACACCTTTAAACTTGGTCTCCACAATTCTAAAGTAACTATCATTCCCTGATGCAGCAATGAGTCTGCTTCCACTTTTTGCGTCCTCTTCACCCTATTTCCACCCTGTGTCATGCTGCCTCATGTGTGGCAGCTAAGAATGCCACCTTGAATTAAAGTCCCTATTCACCTTCACGGCACCATCTTTTTTCTGCAAAAGGGGTGAAGAAAACGGGTGTACCTATTTCTGCATCAGAATTCTCTTGACCAACAAACAAAGAGCATGACTTGCTGCTTCTCCTTAACAAAGTGTCACTGCCTCCATCTGTTATGGCAGGTTTGATGTAGTAAAAGTGATCTTTGCCATGATCAAGAGGGTGGCCGACTAAGGTGTTGTTAGAGTGATGAACAAATGTCACTATCGAAAGGCATGACATAAAGCTAATCAAGGCTTGTTGAAATCAATCTCATTGACATGGTTGTGCGTGAATTCACTTGTGAAGGTTTAATAGAAGATTTATGGCTTTCTGGAAAGGTGTATTGTATGTTTTGCTTTTTATAAGATGTTTATTATGGAACGTGGTATGAACTGCGTGGCATGGTTTTGGGGATAACAAGTGTTGGATTGGTGAATAAAGTGTAACATGACTTGCTAAAATAGCATTGCTTGAACCGCCAAAATTCCTCTAGACTCAGATGACTAATAGACTTTAAAGTTGAATTTGAGAGGTAAGAATTGGGGAGAAAAGAATTTAATTAAACTCACTTTAAAAAAAATTGTACTATTATAGATGGGATTAGGAAGGAATTATATGAGGTGATTTATTTTTATTTATTTATATATGTTGTAAAACAAGAAGAAAAAATATGATATATATTAAAAGATAATTAAATTTATTTTTAAATTCAGTAAATTTAATGTTTGAATCTAAATTTAATTAATACACTGAAAATATAATTATTTTATATTTCAAATAAAGTTACTTTTATGTATGTTCTAATTTATATATTTAAATTTAATTTAAACCCTTACTAGTAATATAAGATAAAATGGCTGCAGTGACTTCCCACGTGAGACATTTAATGCATGTATAACAAGGTCAATTATTCATTTCTGTTTAAAATCAAGGTACTAAAAGAAATAAAATTGAGTGGGATCAAGGTATTTTTATCTTAAGTACTTTTTAATAAAATGAAAAAAAAATCTAAAATCTATCCCAATTTTCCAAATTTTATTTCACTACAAAAAAAAAATCTCTTTCCAATCATGCAAAATTATTATGGTTGATAATGTATTTGGTTAAGATGTGTTTAAAGTGACACTACAAGAAAAAACACATTTAGTCACCGAAATTAGTGACCGAATTTTTTCAGATCGCAATTAGCGACCGCTTTAGCGATCGATTTAATTTTGGTCGCAATTAGCAACCGATTTAGCGACCACTTTAATTCGGTCGCAATTAGCGAATCGATTTAGCGACCAAAATATGATTTATTTTGCACTTTTTTATATAGCGATCGAAATAGCGACCAATATTTTGCGTCGCAAAATTTCTGATCGCTAAATTGGTGGCTATTTCATACTAAAATAAAAAAATCATTTATCGATCGATTTAGTGATCGAATTACAAATTGAAATAGTGACCGAAGTGAAATCGTACAGCTTAATGAAAATAGCGACCGAATCGAAATCGGTCGCTAATGAATATTATTTTTTTATTATATTTAAATTTATTTTTTTATAAATATACTTTAATTGTTTTAGTATATTTTTTACAATTTATTTTTTCAAAGTAATTTAGTTTTTAAAAATAATTTAATTTTTAAAATATACTTTAAAAATAAACTTTGGTCTCAATATTAACAAAATGAATTGTAATAAATCAAATTTATTAAAAATTTAAATTGTAATAAATTAAGACTAGAGTGATGTTAACTATTCAATACATTGTTTAAGAAAAGTTTAATAACAAATATTCTTGAATTTATTTTTCAATTGAAAATTTCAATTGAAATTAAATTATATTTTAAAAATTTATATTAAAAAATTGAAGAAAATAGAGATTTAATTATACTTTTAATAAATTTAACATAATAATAGTTTTGATTTGTATTTTTAAATATTTATTTTAATTTTTTAAAACAGAGAAACTATAATTTTAGTTTCTAAATACTAAATTTAAAGAATTAAATTTATTATTATTTAATCTTTTAATTTTAGTATTAAAAATTTAAATTATATTTTATTAAATTAAAATAATATTACAATATATTTTTCTACTTTGAGAATGAAAAATATAATTAAACTAAAACTGAAAATATTATAATACATTTTTGAACTCTTTTTGATTAATTTTTTTCCTAATTTTTTATAAAGTCAATTTTAATATTTAAAAGTATTTAACATTTTGCTTTCACAAATGTTTTCTCAGTATTACCAAATTTCGACTCTTAATAACCTCTACAACCAACTTCCAATTATAGAGAAACCAAGTGCCCAAATTCCAGGCACCAAACAATACAAAAAGAATGTAAAGAAATGAAAAAGAAGAAACTAGAATGCTCAAACCAATTTATGCAATTTTGTTGTAAGTGTTTCTTCTTCAAAAGAAATCAAGTTGCCTCAAGAAAGATTTTCAAAGAACTTCTCAAAAACTAATGCGAATCTTTCTTGAAAAGAGTCTTGAAGTTTGCTTGATTGATTGCTCAAGGATGTGTAAAAGATGATATTCAATGTATGTTAAAAAAGTTCAAGCCAAACTGTTTTTATAGAAGATTTTCAAAACTGCTCGGTTTAATTAATCAGTTAAAAGATTCTTTTAATCTGTTAAAAGTGCAGCTTTAATCTGTTAAAACTTATTTTAATCCATTAATATGTTCTTGATTCTTTAACTGATTTGTTTTAAGCTGATACTGACAACATTTATATCAATTAAAACACTTTACAAAAATCTTCTAAGTTGATTTAATCGATTGTTTCAGCGATTCAATCGATTGAAATATCATGAAAACTTTCTTGTAAAACTTTTCAAGTTATTTTAACTAATAAAAATAAGTTTTAATCGATTAAAACGCTGTGTAGAAATTTTTAAGTTGTTTTAATCGATTGAAACGAGATTTAATCGATTAAAAGAGTTATGATCGGTCATAACTAAATTTTGATCGATCATAATCGATTCGATCGGCCATAATTGCATTCTGATCGATCATCCTAAACCCTTAAGTGGTTTTAATCTATTAAAATCAAGTTGTATCGATTAAAATATTGTAAAAACATTTCACTTGACATTTTAAGTAATTTTAATCGGTTCTATCAAAGTTAGTATCGCTTAAAAACTTGTTTGAGAAAGCTTTTGTCAAAATACTTTGTTTTTAATTGTTAAAAACATTTTTAGAGGCATTTTGCAAAATCTTTTAAGTGAAGAAACCTCATGCAACAGAAATCTTTTAATTTTAGTATTAAAAATTTAAATTATATTTTATTAAATTAAAATAATTACAATATATTTTTCTACTTTGAGAATGAACAATATAATTAAACTCAAAATTGAGAATATTATAATACATTTTTGAACTCTTTTGGATTAATTTTTTTCCTAATTTTTGATAAAGTTAATTTTAATATTTAAAAGTATTTAACATTTTGAATGCTCGAAAGGTTTTCTCTAATAGCAAATTTAAAAACATAATATTAAAAAAAATAGTTAATGTAAGTTTTCATTATGATCAATTATAATTAGAAATGATAGATCATAATTGAGAAGATATGATAGTGGTTCCACGTTAACCGCTATCTAAAGTATAATTTAGATAGCGGTTATGGGTTAACCGCTATTAGAAGTGCCTCTTAAGAGCGGTTCTGTGGAACCGCTATCTAAAATGTATTTCGCTTGAGCGACACTGGTATCGCTCGAGCGAAACGCCTTCGCACAAAATTGGCATTCTCGGGTTGTATTTAGCTGAGCGACTCTAGTCTCGCTCGAGCGACATCTAAGTTTTCATAGCGATTCCGATGGAACCGCTATCATATACAACCATATTTAAAGGTTCTGATCGATCAGATTTTCAAAATGATCGATCAGATTTGCTAATTTTTTCAAATAAGTAATTATAATCGATTAGTTTTCTAAATTATTGATTAGAATTGATTAGTTTTTCAAATAATAGATTAGAATTGATTAATTTCAAAATATATATTAAAAAATTATAATTAAAAATATAGATTATTTAAGAATATTAACTATTGTGAAGATAAAGTTGAACATGGGAGGAGATGAGGATGATAATATAATGATAGAAGTTCAAAAAATGTAGAATTGAGAAGTTTGAAACAAAAAAATTAAGAAAATAGAGATCTAATTACACTTTTAATAAATTGAAGATAATACTAGTTTTGATTTTTATTTTTAACTATTTATTTTAATTATTTAAAACAGAGAAACTATAATTTTAGTTTCTAAATACTCAATTTAAAGAATTAAATTCATTATTATTTAATCTTTTAATTTTAGTATTAAAAATTGAAATTATATTTTATTAAATTAAAATAATTACAATAAATTTTTCTACTTTGAGAATGAACAATATAATAAAACTCAAAATTGAGAATATTATAATACATTTTTGAACTCTTTTGGATTAATTTTTTTTCCTAATTTTTTATAAAGTTAATTTTAATATTTAAAAGTATTTAACATTTTGAATTCGAAGGTTTTCTCTAATAGAAAATTTAAAAACATAATATTCAAAAAAATAGTTAATGTAAGTTGTCATTATGATCCATCATAATTTGAAATGATCGATCATAATTGAGATCCTATAATAGCGGCTCCACTTTTAACCGCTATCTAAAAGTGTATGTTAGATAGCGGTTAAAGTTTAACCGCTATCATATACAACCATATTTTAAGATTGTGAAGTCTCGGGTTGTATTTCGCTTGAGCTGACACTATACTCGCTCGAGCGACATACGATTCAAACATGTGAGGTCTCCCATGTTACATTATCCTAGCTAACTTTGATCGACGCTTACTGTGGTCAACATTCGCTCAAGCAAAAATAACAATGCTCGAGCGACGCGACTCGCACAATATTGGCATTCTCGGGTTGTATTTCGCTTGAGCGACACTAGTATCGCTCGAGCGATGCCACCTGCACAAAATTGGCATTCTCGGGTTGTTTTTCGCTTGAGCGAGACGATCTCGCTCGAGCGACATCCACATTTTTTGGTTATGATCGATTACATTTTCAAATGATCGATCATATTTGAAAATATATAATAGCTGGTTAAGATTTAACCGCTATTAGACGTGCTATATAATAGCGGTTAAGATTTAGCCGCTATTAGAAGTGCTATTATAATAGCGGTTAAGATTTAACCGCTATCATATACAACCACATTCTACCTCGCGCCACTTATCCCCAAATAACCCTAACT